TTTTTCGTTGGCGCGACGTTTCACCAAAATCGAAGAAAAAAACGAGCGGGAGGCCGTGACTCCCGCTCGAGGGAGGAGGTTCGAGGCGATGGAAGGGGATACGAGGAGGTTTGGGCGACTGGGAATTCTTGAAAATTTCGTATTTAAAACGATGTTTACGATTAGAATGATGTTTACGTGAAACGAATAATTGGAGATAGCCCATTTGAAATATCGAACGTGTGAAGTTTTTAATCGAATTAGATTAGATAATTAGAAGTTATCAATAGACGGGTATTTTTCTAGAAAGATTAGAAATTTAAAATTTTCAGAGATTTCTTTCTATTCAAATCGATCGCAATATAGATGTTAATAAAATATGCTAATATAATTTCTTGAAGGAGAAATAATGATATGAAAAGGATACTGGAAAGTTTCAAGTTTCGTTTCTCGTAATTACCGTGTTTTCTTTTCTCCAAGATGAAATATAAAAAGAATGTATATTTAATATTTACATTCGTAATATTTATATTGGATTTTGCCTTTTCTTTTCTACTGCAAAAATGTCCTTCGAATTCCGTATAATATGACAAGTTGCAATTGTAATATAAATTATACATGTGATAAAGAATCGAAAGATAAATCGTTTCGAAAAAAAAAAAAACAAAGTCGTTTAGAAGATAAGAATACGTGGAAGACGCAGAAAAGCGTAATGTCTCACGGTTCTCATGTCCGCCTCGTTCGTTCATCTCGTGCGAAGTTTTCAAAATTGCTTCAACCATTGACGTCACCACACCGAAGTGACGTTAATATCCGAAACCACATTTGATCCGGTTCTTGTGACGAAGAAGATTGATATATCGTTTCAAAAGATCCAAAATTTTGCTTCGTTATGGTGGAAAAATGATATATTTTGAAATTCGGTGAGTGACAACAATTTTTTTTCGTTTGAAGAATTAATAATTATCTTCTTACATTATTTGTCTTACATTATTTATTCCATCTTTCTACGAAAATATTATACATTTTTTAATAGAAGAAATGAAAATTCGAAAATTCAAAATTTGATACACGAAAATACATATATTGTTTATATTGTTTTTAAGCTAGATATTCGTTATCATTATCTTTACTTTTAGTGTTGCCTTATCGTTCTTGTAAGCAAAAATTTTAAAGTATAATAGAAACGATAAATACGGAGAAAAGAAAAATTATTCGTTTGCAAAATTTTCGAAAAGAAAAATTCGAAGCGTTAAAAATTTTTATTTTTAATTCCCTTAATTTCTGTTCATCGAGTGAAACCATTATATGTGCACCGATTGTTATCGAATATTCAGAATAATTCTGCATAATCGTTGCGATTACGTGCACGAAGAAGCTGGAATTAATTAATAACGAGCCTGTCCTTAAAGCCTAATCCCTTAGAGATTCCCTTATTCCCTTATTCTTCTCTGGATGATAAACGAGTGACTGTTCTCAATTTAGAAAATCTTATCTAGCGGATTATCGGTAGGCAACGAAGGGAGGAAAAAGTAGTGCTGTTTAATTAAAACTGCGTGGTCACAAACACCGTGACCAAGATGGAACGTGTTGTGTAAGTGTGTAATTGGTATAGCGTTCAGGATAATTCGAGCTGTGTGGTTGCACGTGTGCTATAATAATAAACGCGATTCTGTGAATCCCGTAATACCATTATCGTCTTGACTCGAATATTTTTTATTTGACATCTCAAAATTATTGAGATGAAAATTTTTAATGAATTTCACTTCGAATTATACGTGAATTTTAAATTTTTTTATTTATATTTTTTATTTATATATGTCAAGATGAAATAAATTATTTGATAATTATTTCTTACTTTTTTTGTCACTATATATTGTGAATGTATTTACGAAACAGTTGAAGAAACCGTTTTCGATTGAAAGATAATACGATACTAGGGAATACTTTTTTTTTTTTTTTTTTTTTAATTAAAAAAAATTACTGTAACGCATGTATACTTTCCATTAGATAATCAAAATTCGACGAACGTGAAAAAAAATTTCATTTCACTAATTTAACACGAACAATGACACGACGATGAGGCAAATGAACGATTTCTGTAACGATGAACGATACTGAGAGAAGAGAAAAGAATTTGTTTTTCTTTTTTTTTTTTTTTTTTTATCATTATTATAATCGATCGCATCAGAAATATAACAAGAAATTCAAAAACTACTAGAAAATTCAATCAGTTCCATTCATCGATCGTTTGTATGAATTTTGCAAAGCAAACGGTGCAATCACGTTTAATCAATAACAATGTTAAATCACTTATAAAAGAATATTTTTCCTGGTTGCAAGTGAAAAGATTTATTTGCAAATTCCATTTGGCAAACGAAACGTAACGAGCATGGAAAATTCGATCGATCACACGTCGATCCCACTCGTTGAATTTCGTCAGCAGAAATAATCGGATCGACTTACTTCCAGTTTCTCCGGCTATAAATTACACACCACGATCCGAAATCGGTCACCGAGAAGCTGCTCGCTCGACGAACGAACGGAAACTGCGAAATGCGTTTCCGATATCGGGGAATATCCTCATTCAAGCGTGGAATCACGGTGTACTTCTTCTAATAAAAAAAAAAGTGGAGAGCTGATACTGATATTCTCTAAAAAAAAAAAAAGAAATTATAACAATGGCGAAGAAAAATAAAATTTTGAAATGTTTAAGTTGGAAGAATAATAAAGGGCGAATTATTGGGTGAATAAAATTGAGATATGTTTTCTTCTCGAGTATTTGAATTGAAACAATTAATTAATGGAAGAATAGCGAATGAAGATGAAATTGAAAGAATTTACAAGAAAGAAAATTATATGAATAAAAATAAAAAAACATTTAAATAAAGAATTTAAATAAAGATAGAGGATATTTAATTTAAGTTGTAATAAATCAAGTTTTCTTATATTTTAATTGTTGGTTTAGTGTGAGATATAATTTTTTAGATATCCAGAATTAATTATTACGATTATACTTAAACAGTTTTTAATGATGTTACTTTAATAATAAAATTAATTAAAATCGAAACAGGAAATTCATTATAAATTGAGAATAAATAAAAGAAATGAATTAGTCTATGGCTATGTATGTTTTCCAACAATTACATTTCATTATCCATCTTTCAAAAAACGAAACGTTCAAACATCATTGCCATTTATTAATGGATTTTCTTATGTAATTTGATTTCTTTCTACGCATCATTGGCAAAATCAAGAAAAATCAACGCAATCAGATGAAACGGATATTTTTCACGCGTGCCATACCATCAATCATCATATTGTACAATCTATATATAGAAATCTCCAATCTTTATAGTATAATTAAAATATTCAGATAAAATTTTTCAGAAAAAAAAGGACGGCAAATGAAGACAAATAAGAATTTATAACGTAAATTATAAATTATAAAATATAATTAACACAAAGAATAAATAATATCCTAGGTAATAAAATACAGTATTTTAATAGGTATTTTATTATAGCAAAAATTCAATATAAAATTCTTCAAATATCCAATATATCAAAGACCTTAATAGTTCAGCTCATAATCATAAATATCTAAAGAAAAATCATGAAGTTTTATTAAAAATTAATTAATATAAAATATATGAGATATGTATACATAATTTCTTCAATATAAATTAATCAACAAAAAAGTATAATTCAAATACCTCATAAACCTTGATAATAACCATTTTATAAAGAAACAACATTCTATTAATAAACAACTCCAAACATAATCAAAAGCCATTAATTTCTAATAAAAACCTATAAAATAAATATTACCATAAAACAATAGCTCTAAAAAGATTCAAAGATTCAAACATCTCTAAAAATCTTCACTCGAACACAATTTTTATCTTCATAATAAAATACATTTTTTGACAATCCATTCAAAGTTTCAAACATCTTCAAAAATTTTCATTCGATTCTCTATGAATCTTTTTATTCGACAAAGAATTAATACACATAAGAATGGATCCCAAAGATTCCAAACATTCATGATTCTCTATAATGAATCTTTCTATTCGATAGAGTAAAGAGAGAATCGATCCAAAGTTCCAAACATCTTCAAAAATCTTCATTCGATTCTCATTTCTATTCGACAGAAAATTAATACACATGAGAATGGATCCCAAAGATTCCAAACATTCACGATTCTCATCTCTATAAACTTTTCTATTCGATAGAGTCAAGAGAGAATCGATTCAAAGTTGCAAACATCTCCAGAAATTTTTCTTTCGAGCCCAATTCTCATAAACTTTTCCATTTGACAAAATCAAGACACGTAAGAGTCGATCCAAAGTTCCAAACATCTTCAAAAATCTTCATTCGATTCTCATCTCTATGAATCTTTCTATTCAACAGAAAATTAATACACATGAGAATGGATCCCAAAGATTCCAAATATTCACGATTCTCATCTCTATGAATTTTTCTATTCGATAGAACCAAGAGAGAATCGATCCAAAGTTTCAAACATCTCCACACACAGATGAGATTTTTCTTTCAAGCCCAATTCTCATCTTATAAACTTTTCCATTTGACAAAATTAAGACAAGAGTCGATCCAAAGTTCCAAACATCTTCAAAAATCTTCATTCGATTTTCATCTCTATGAATCTTTCTATTCAACAGAGAATTAATACACATGAGAATGGATCCTAAAGATTCCAAACATTCACGATTCTCTATGATGAATTTCTATTCGATAGAGTCAAGAGAGAATCGATCCACACACAGACGAGATCTTTCTTTCGAGCCCAATTCTCATCTCATAAAATTTTCCATTTGACAAAATCAAGACACGTAAGAGTCGATCCAAAGTTCCAAACATCTTCAAAAATCTTCATTCGATTCTCATCTCTATGAATCTTTCTATTCGACAGAGAATTAATACACATGAGAATCGTTCCACACACAGACGAGATCTTTCTTTCGAGCCCAATTCTAATCTCCATAAACTTTTCCATTCGACAGAATCGAGACGCATGAGAGTCGATACCGGGTGATCGGTGATCACGTGAGGGTCCAGCAGTTTCCGGCGAGGCGTATCGAGAGATGTCGACGGAAGATGGTATAGATAATCCGGCGTTCGCCAGCGATGATTGCGCGACCGAGTCGCGGCTGAACGATGAGCAGCAACAGGTGAGCTTGGATCACAAGTCGGAGGGCGGTCCCGTGGAGAACGGCCATCAACGGGCCCAATTCGTCTCCCAACAGTATGTCGAGCCCGGAAAGACCAGTCCCGATCCTCATCATCAGAGGACCGAGACGAAGATCGAGCTGCCCGAAACCAACGACAAGGCCGTGGTCGAGCCGAAAATGAACGGTGTCCATGGAAATGGAAACAACAATGATGCTAGTTTCCTTAACAACAGCGCGACCAGCGTGCAGATTAACGGTGAGTGAAGAATTGTTCATTTAATATCATTTTAACGTAAATATAAAATTAAAAATTTCTTGCCCCCTGTTTAAAAAAACGATCGTTTACAATCGATATTTTTAATCTAGAATTTTTAATTAATCGATTGTAAGAATTAATCTGATTAATGATTAAAAAATTTTATACGTGATAATTATAATCAAAATGGAAAAATTTGATATGCGTGTTGCGATTGAGAATCATAATTGAAATTTTATTCGAATGTACGACAACGTTTCCTCTAAAGATTTTATCTTCGATTGTATAATGAAAATCGTACCCACGTAGATTTTTTCCTTAAAATTGAAACATTTGCTTTTTCATATCTACGAATGAAATCTATTAATTTGCGAAGAATCATGATTATATTCATCGCTTATTCAGTTAAGAAAAAAAAAAAAAGAAAGAAAGAAAGGAAAAGAGATTGTATTTTTTAATAACAACTACACAATTTTCACAGTCGAATAAACATTGATATCACTTTTGCAAACTCAGAGAAACAGAACGAATATCCATATCAAATGAATGATCCATATCAACATCATATCAAATGAATATTATCCAATTATCATAAATCCTCATAACCAACTATCCTCTCTCGAGCAAACGAAAAAGAACCTCTTAAACTCGCTATCTTCCTTCCCTCGTTTCCATTCCATCAATTTTTCTCCACATATCTCGCGCGCGCGAAAGAGAGAGATCATTGAAAGAACATTGAAACGAGAGAGGAACGTGGAAGGCGAAAAAGAGCGAAAAAGGAAGGAACACTTTACGTAAGCGGAGGCCACAAGCTTTTACCTTTCAGCGCGGAGAAAATTCCTCCGCGACAAAAAGCGAACGTGTTGCATTTTTCCTTCGCCGACTCGAGTTCGCGCTCAACAAATCCGGATGCAATCCGCAAATCTACTCGCGTAACCAAGAATTTTCGTCGTGGATTGGGATCGTTTCGATCTTGGGAATCGCGTAAATTTCGTTCGCGCGCGTTCGATGAATAATTCATCGGTTTGGATCGGATGGAACGAATGGATTCGTTGCTTTAGATTGAACGAAGATGGTTCGAGGATTAGGAGTTAGTTAAAGTTTGATCGAGCCGAGATTGCACTGGATTGATAAACGTTGAAATTTGACGCCCTTCTTTCTTCCGTTTTGTGGATCATTTTGAGCGTAATTGGGCGGATAAAAATAGAACGATCGATATACATAGTGCTTTGGATTCTTTTTTGTCGAGCTGTTGTTGGAAAATTTTTGGAAAAAATTTGCAAATATCAAATTTTGAAATTTTGGTTTGCTGGAAATTTTGAAAATTTTGAAAAAATTCTGAAGGGGAAGGGGAGTTAATGAAATTTGTAAATCGAATTCCGACAATTCAAATTCTTCGTCGTATTCGTATTCGAAAGTGTAACAATCGAACGAGTTGTTGCAAATTGGAATACATCGAGAAAATGATGATGCAAATTTTTCATTATCAGATCGAAGTTTTAGATAGTTTTATTGTATTTTCAAGATACACTTTTGCACAGAATTCGAAAGCAAATCAAAACACACTGTGGAAATAATTATTACTGCAGTTACTGAAATCTGCATCGTTCCGCGTGATTTTCGAACTTTCGATCGTTAATTACAACCACCATCACCAATACCAGTTCACCAAGAAAAAGTCGTTCGAGGTCAGTGAAACGCAGAAAATATATGAACGATCAAAATGATTAATTTGCAAAACATGTAATATCCATATATTCGTAATAAGACAACAAATTCGTTAAATTAAACAGAGAATCAATTAAAAGAATTATTAACTTTGTTGCAAATCTTGTAAAGATTATCTAAATAATTTACTTTCACTGGATAAATCAAAGTATTATACTTTGATGAACAAAATATAATATAAATATGATTAATAAATATGAAAGCAAATAATTCATTTTATTTATTCGTTGTTTAAAAAAATAACTTAATTGATATTATTCCTAATTTAAATAATAATTCTGGAACGTTTCAATTATATTCTATCTATACGTGTTCTATTTTATACGTTTTTTATTTATTTATTTATTTTTCTTTCTATTCTTATTCTTTTTTTTTTTTTTACTATTATTATTTTATCAATTCCTTGTTACTTTAGAAAGTATAAATTTTAATTGCCTAACCACTATTATTGTAAGATTATTCTTTACTTCATTTCATTATTGCTTTCAAAGAGGTAAAACGTCAATATATTTGCAATCAACTTCCGTCAATACATAATGGAATATATTTTCTTTACTAGCAAAGTTATGAGCGAAGAATGTTTCTCAATAATAGTACATCGACTTTTGAACTTTGTTCAAATAAACGCGTTAATTAACTAATTTTTTTCTCTTATTAACATCGATTTTACAACAAACACGGTTTCGCCTTATAAAATATATACTTTGATACTCGTATAATTTATATTTATATTTATATTTATATAAATTATATAATTCTCAACATCTCGAAATACGTATCTAAGAAATTTAATTTAATTTCGAACCTTCACTGTAGTTGCAATTGTATCAGAAAAAGAGAGAAAGTTATTTTAAGAAAAACGTGGTATAATATATGGTATAAGATAATTAGTTGAAAATATACGTACCATTTTATAATACTGTTGTATAAAAGTGTTCAAACGTCAAAAAATTAAATAACAAGTGAATAATAATTATATACACATCTAAAAAAAACTATACACGAATCGAATAAAATTTGATAAATTTAAATGTGTCGAACAAATATTGTAAATCATTTACACCACAAGAGTCAATTATTATCAAGAAATATTATAAAAAGAATTTTATTTCACTTATCTTGTGCTATCTTTCCTCTTTAAAAATCACGTTATTACACAATCGGTTATCACGGTACACACACGTTATCACAATATCGGTTGGAGTTCAATCAATATCTTGATTGAAATAAAAAATGATGAAAACCTTCATCATGAAAAAAAAAACCAAAAAAATATCAATACCAATGCATCCGTGGAACAATTAACTATTAAAAACCAATATTTATCTCATTGAACAATATCTCGTTTCTCTATAGATACCGGAAAGAAAGAGCAGATCGAGGCAGTAAACTTGGAACTGGTCTCGATGAGGCCTTACGCGGGCAACAATCTCCAAACGAAGGGCCAGGAAGCTTGCGAGGTTCCAGCCGATCCCTACGAGGAGTACTTCGTTCCAGTGAACGAGCATCGAAAGTACATCAGGTAAAGGAATGAAAAATGTTCCCCTACTCTCTGTGTTCTCTTCCTGGCTACTGTTTAACATTCGATCGTGTTCACCAGTCCGGGGCGTTACAAGATCGTTTGAACTTTTCTTTTCTTTTCTTTTCTTTTTTTTCTTTTTTTTTTTTTTTTTAGCAAGAAAGTAAGACAACATCAACCAGAACACCGAGAAACGAAATTACAAATATATGTATCGCGATGTATCTCGTTTCTTTTTGATCTCTTATATTATTTCGAATCGAATCGTGATCGTGGAAGAGCTTACTTTCCAAAGTTTGCCAGATTAGATGAAATCTAAGGATAAATTTTTGGAGAGAGGAAAATTATCGGAATTTATTTTATAAAAAAAGGAAGCATCGATTGATTCGTGAAAAAATATATTTTTCTTTCGAGTTTTGAATTAAAAATACCGATTTCCGATTAATTCATTATAAATTCATTTTGATACGAATCTTTTATTTCTCTATATTTTTTTTTCCAGAATTTCTTCGAATTACATTTCTCTATACTTGTATTATTTTTCCTTTGTAACACAATAATTCTTCTTCATCGCGCAACAATCGATGCAATAAAAATACATGAAACTTGAAGAAATATTGCTATTGGAATATATTTAAGGCCTTTCTAGATACCGAAATGTATGTTTAATTCATTCCTCGTTTTGCATAGTTGCTAAAACGACCGATTCGTCGAGTTGAATACAGATCAAAGAAAGAACGTATTGTCGTTGAATTCGAAAATATTAATGGCGTAAAAAAACGGTGCAAGAAAGTAATTATAATAACATCATAAATACGATTGAATAGATTATGCGACAAAAGTTAATAATAAGTAAATTCATCATCGAGGAAGATGAAATTCGAAATTCCATGAAATAAAAAAAACCAGACCGATCCATCAATTTTCGAAAAATAATTCTTTATATATATCCTGAAACGAAGTTTGATTTCATTAAAATTTTAATATTCTTCTCGCGTTACTTTGCTCGTTCTCCATTTTTCAAGCCTCCTAGCTTACGTACGATAATATGTTCCTAGATTACTTAACATATGCAGTATATTTTCCTATCGATGAAATAAATGTTCTTTATTGCAATTCTTTCAATTTTTCTCGATGCACGAGGGAAATTCAAATTTCGTCATTAATTTAATCGGTTTAATTTTTAAAAATTAAAATCACAGTCTAATATTTCAATACATTTTTTAATCAACGTTCGTTATATTATAAAAAATTATAATCACATCGAAATTTAAAAACTCATGGAATTAAGCTCTTCTCTCGATACTTTCAACCATCATTAATTATTCACGTAAATAAATATCTACATTCCGATAACGTACACGATTAATCAAATCGCGACACCACAAAGTGAAATATTACCGATTAAAAAATAGAGGAGAGAGAGATAGAGAGTTAGAGAGAGAGAGAGAGAGAAATAGCAAATATCGAAAGAACGAAAGTGCTTAGAACGTAACGGATTACGTTCACCGATGGAGGGGCTTGCGAAACGAATGTGTCACAACGTTTCATATAGCAAAACGTAGGAATGACCGTCCTTCGTCTGAAATAGAACTCTGAATCAGCCTCGAATTATTTTCCAAGATCCATGGATGGATCATTTTTATTATCTTAAAAATAAACGATGAATAATAATGATGATGATAATAATAATAATTCTTTTATTCTCACGACGAAAACGTGAAGAACGAAGAATTCGTCGAGATTGAATTAAAGAGAAAAGAGAAAAAAAAAAGAAAAAGGAAGGGATTAATATGTATGATAAATCTCTGTGATTGGTCTGCTGAGTAGTCTCGCGTAGTTATTCCTTTCTTTCTTTCTTTCTTTCTTTCTTTCTTTCTTTCTTTCTTTTTTTTATCGCTTGCTTCTCGTTCGAGGCGACGTAAACAGCATTTCTCGAAGATGATTTTTAGCAAGTAGCGAGTTGATCTATGCTGTTTGCCCGATTAGCACGAAATACACGAAATATCTTGCGAGGCTGTTGCTACATATTGTCTAGAGAAGAAGCAAGAGTAGTAGAATGCTCCGTAACAACAAATTATGCAATAGAATTTGAACGTCATCTTCGCAGGGAGCATATACAAATATAATTTATATTATCTTCCATTGTTTCGTGGATAACTTCACGATCGAAATCTCTTCTATCCCTTCTAAACGGACGTTTAGTACCGATGATCCTCCATTGAAATTTTTAATCATCGGTGATTGAAAAAACGATCCACGTGATCCATACTTAACGCACCCTTCGCTGTATCCCTCATTCAATTCGATCTTAAAAAAGAAAAAAAGAAGGACAAAAATAACGAAAAAAATCGTACGTAAATCCAATGATTCAAAATTAATCACCGCATCTGCCGATGCATCAGCTTGATTAAAATCAAGGGCCGAGAAAGAAATAAGAAATGGAGGCGGAGGACTCGGATCACGCGAGGATCAAGCGAACCGTACATGCTCCACGCGAGATCGTTCCCTAACGTTAGAGTCACGTTTACATACACAGCTTCGCCTCCGCTGACCGCGACAGAGTTGTACACACCCCCTCCCCGACACACCTACAAACAGATGCGAACAGATACGATAATCTGCACACGTATAGGAAGGCAAAACGCATACGAAACAAACGTGTACACACGCGCGAATAGAAAAAAACGTAAGGACAGACATACGTAAGAGACGCATACACGACGGAGAGGCCAGCAGCAGAGAGCCGAGTGTAGAGAGTTAGACGGTGTTTTCTGTTGTCACGATACCTAGCAGGGGTCCCGAGGCCGAGGTTGAAACAACCGTGGCTGGAGTGCGTTTTGATTTGGGCCCCGGCGTCGGCCGCGAGGGACTCAGCCTGAGAGACCCTGCCGCCGGACTGGTCGACTATTCCCACTGGCTGACAGCCCTCAGGTACATTGAAGGATGCTTACGAGGAGACGAGAGAGAGAAAGAGAGAGTATGTGTGTGTGTGTGCTGATCGATGAACGAGATGGTGGATGCGCACGATATTCTACGAAACTAACTCGCTTACAACCCCCGCTGCTCCCCGAGCATTTTTTCTTTTTCCTCGTCTCTTTACCCGCCCCCTCTTCTTCCCTCCCTAATCATCGAATGACGACACACCCAACGATGGAATGCCAACAAGCATATATATTCACAAGCATTCTCGCAAAATGCACCGGGATATGACGTATTAGAAAATGGCTATTAGAGAGTTGGACAGAAGCTGAGGATAGATTTATAAATATATATATGTATATGTATGTATTTTTTTTTTTTATATATATTTTATATTTTATCCCGTTAGGTGCTTCAGGATTCACCGAGTAGTCGCTCACACGCAGCATCATTATCATTGTTGGAGGATGTATGCCTAACAGGCCTTTAACAAGCAAAGAAACGAATTACAACACTACCTCAGAAGCAAGCACTCCCAACACGTGGACACTACCGATCACGCGAGCATTCGTCGCGAGATGAAACGAGCATGGAATTCTTTTTCGAAAATATATATATATGTATATGTATGTGTATATGTATACATATATATATATATCGAGAGTTTTAAATTCGAAAACGAGAGGAATAAAAAAGAAACAATGATTAATAAGCGGAGGAAATTTTTTTTTTTTGTTCGATTAAGGAGGTCGATTAATCGCGACGAAGTCGTTTCAGGATATGGTGTCTGTTCGTTTAGGGAAGCTTCTAATCCTATTTGATCGCTGAAAGAAGGTCTCGAAACATTGGCAAAGCACAGTGCTGTACAAAATACGCTTATTTTGGGTCCAGGATGGGGGTGAATCGAGATCGGTTCGTGGTCATCGTTGTTAATTACGGGTGAAATTGTGTTACAGGGGCGAGAAATTATACGTAACGAAGGATAAGAGATCGAGGAGCTCGTATTGGAGAAGAATGGCCTGTTGGGGATGTTGCTTGGCGGTCGTGCTGATAGCTGTCATCATCGCCATTTTGGCGGCGAGTAAGTGTCTCTCGCGTTTTAAATTCCTAATTTCCACGATTTGTCTTTAATATGCTGACCGAGTATCGATATCGAGTAGTAAGAATTTCGATACAATCGTTTAAAAATTAACCTTTAAAATTAATCGATCGATTCTGTCCTAGCTGGAATAATCTTGACGCAAGAGACTTCCGAACCTCTGGAGAATCTTCAGCAGAATTCGCGGCAATTTGGAGACGTGCGAACGGCCGAGAGTCAAGAATACATGAAGAATCCTCCGCCGAGTCCGCCACCCGCGACTTCGACGTTCCCACCTTGGCCTACGACCGACGAAACCCTTTACAACACTGTCCCAAGCGCCTTGGACGGTGTGCTAAAATTAGACGAGTTCCAATGGGACAACGATCTAAGCGATCCGAAGTCGAGAGTGTACAGACAAGTGAGCACGGAGATAGAAGAACACTTGAGGAGCATGTTGAGGCAGCCAATGGATAACGAAACGATCGTCAAAGTGTATGACATAAACAGGGACGGCGAAGTGAAGTTTAGGATAAGTTATCCACCGCGTTCCATCCCAGAAGAAACGCAACAGATGATCGAGAAAACGTTGCAGAAAAGTGGCAACATGATTGGACACTATCATTTGAACAGTTTAAAGGTGACCAAGTTGGTCGACGATTGTCAGAGCGGGAGTCTTGGGTGTTCAGAAGGGTGCAATTACGATTACTCGAAGGGTCTGTTCGTTTGCTTCTGCAGCAGAGTTGGAAAGATGTTGGCCAGTGATGGAAAGAGTTGCGTCAATGAGAATGATTTGAGCAACGTGGAAATGGACGACGAGGTGCCGGAGACCAATACGGAAGTGGTGCACGATTACGTGCAGGGAAGAAGCAGAGGACCTGGGTCGGTGTTTGAACCGAGGAGACCCGACAATTGGGATCATTTGGACTTCAGCACGGAAACAACGCACAATGGACACGCGCCACAAGATAACGAACACGAATTTCACGTATATCCACATTCTTCAGCAGAACCGGAACCCACGCAGACGGCCACGACGGAAGAGAATCGTGTGTTCAATGACGAATCTGATTCGATACATTGGATGCACGATCATTCGAAGCATGATCATTCGAAGCATGATCATTCGATGCATGATTATTCGACTTATGATCATTCGATGCATGATCATTCGGAACATGAACACTCGATGCATGATCATTCGGAACACGATCACTTGACGTATGATTATTCAAGCTTCTCGACTGCTGAACATAAACCTGAAATGGAATCCAGTTCTGAATCTTTTGCTGAACCCGAACCTTCTGCTGAGCCAGAACCCTCTGCTGAGCCTGAACCGTCTGCTGAACCCGAACCTTCTGCTGAGCCTGAACCATCTGCTGAGCCAGAACCCTCTGCTGAGCCAGAACCCTCTGCTGAGCCAGAACCCTCTGCTGAGCCTGAACCCTCTGCTGAGCCAGAACCCTCTGCTGAGCCTGAACCGTCTGCTGAGCCAGAACCTTCTGCTGAGCCTGAACCTTCTGCTGAGCCAGAACCCTCTGCTGAGCCTGAACCGTCTGCTGAGCCAGAACCTTCTGCTGAGCCAGAACCTTCTGCTGAGCCTGAACTGTCTGCTGAGTCAGAACCTTCTGCTGAGCCAGAACCCTCTGCTGAGCCTCAACCGTCTGCTGAGCCAGAACCGTCTGCTGAGCCAGAACCTCCTGCTGAGCCAGAACCGTCTGCTGAACCTGAACCGTCTGCTGAGCCACAACCGTCTGCTGAGCCAGAACCTTCTGCTGAGCCTGAACCGTCTGCTGAGCCAGAACCGTCTGCTGAGCCTGAACAGTCTGCTGAACCAAAGTCTCCTAATGAACTAGAGTTTGATCCAGAATCTTCCACAAAAATGATTAATACCGAACTAGTCAGTTCCATGGAACCACAATCTACTGAATCTAATAAACTTGAACCTAGTGGAGAATTACAACCGTCTACCGAAATAGAACCTTCTGCTGAACCTGAACCGATTACTGAAGCAAATCCTGCTAGTGAATTATCAACAAAATTAACTGCAACCGAACATCCAGAATTACCTCTTCAATCAGATTTCACTGTTAGGCCTGAAACATCCGGAGAAGAAGATTCTTCTACCGAACACGAATTATCATCAACCTTGTCACCCATCGAACCAGAATTATCCAATGATGAAAAATCTCGTGAAAATATGCCTCCTATTATTGAACATTCTACCGAAATGCAAAACACTATAGTGCCAAAAGATTCTACCGAGAAAACATCTATTGATAAAACTGAATCTTCTACCGAATCTCTAATTGTGAATAAAGAATCTTCTGAATCAATTAACGAATCAGCCTCTTCCACAGAATCACCTATGGTTGAAAAAGAAACAACAAATACACCCAATGTTCCTACAAACATGGAGTCAGAATCTACAACGCCAATGATTAATGAAACTACATTACCAAATAATGAAATGACAAGCAATGATGAATCTTTGCCAGTGATACCTCTCATCCCTGATATCGAAGAGACTATGACATCGAATCATTCGTTTTCTGACGATCATTCGGAATCAAGTGTCGCAGTTGTAGACACAACTATGATAATGAAAGACAATGAAGAAAAGGTAACAACTTCAAGCTCTATAGAAATGGACAAAAACGAGCAAGTCACTGAAACAACCAACATGCCACAAGATGAAACAACTATATACACTACAATAAGCATAAATAATGACGAAACGATGAACTCCTCTTCAGAATCTAGTTCTTCCACTTCATCCACTAATCTTCAATCTTTAATTCCTGAAATAGAATCCACCACTAATTCTGAGATAACCTTCCCTAACACAGTGACAGACACTAAATCGGAAAGCACAACTGAATCGAATCCCGTTGCAGAGACCAACATCACAGAAATGGATAACGAAGAGTCTAAATCTCAGAATACATCGTCAAATGAATCCACTATGGAACCTGAATCACCTCCTCGTGAGACGAATGAGACCAACGTTATTGAACACATGCCAACGACCGTCTTCCCCAAATTGCCAAAGAATTTCGGCCATAACGTGGAACCTCTGATAGAACCACTGATAAACGACACGGAAGAGCACATTATGCTGATACCAAAAACGGAGCACACCACGGAAGTTCACGATCCTCATGCAATTATTCCACAATTGATTCCCGAACAAAGCGTCCAATCCTCATCGAATGGATCGTCGACAAACATCCCTAACCAAGATTCGCCAAGAAGTAAAATTCCATCCTCTACAGAAGTTGTTGAGACGACTCTCCATCGATCAACTGTACGTCCAGACGAGAACGCGGTTTCTTTAAGCGACTCTGTTCGCTATGAGGAGAATTTGGACCATTCGACCAATCATCCCCTGCATCCAGCAATGTTCCCTGAGAACACGGTCGAACACGCCACGGAGAAATTTGACTCGGGTTATGACAAGCACGCGGACGATATGTCCCCCTTCTTGCCGGATGTCCAGAAGGAAAAGGAGGTGAAGAAGGCGCCTAGATTGGACAAGGACGAGCAGGACGTGCCCAATCCTTTCGAAGATCACGTTGAAGATGTGATCACCGACAAACCTTTGATGGAAACGTCTCCTTCTACGGAACGAAACACTAACGAAACCGAATTAAAGGATTCTCTGAACGACGTCCACGACGTTGTACGCGATAACGCGAAGTCTGATGAGCGGAACGAAGTGGGTCGTGGGTTCAAAGGTGACGGGTTAGACGCCGTTGAAAGTAACGATACGGAATCCGGGATTCAAAATGGCCTATTGCTCACTTACGATGCCGACAAGTCAACGAACGAGGAGCACGTTTCGATTGAGAATGAGAGCGGAATAGCTTCTGAGGAAGATGAAGAAGCGTTGAAAGTGGTGCCGTTAGAGGAACAGTTCAAGGAGATTGAAACTACCGTGAAATACGATTCGAGTAAAGATAAATCAGGAATTACGGAAGCTGGCCCAGTTATCGCGGAAGAAGAGAACGAGAAATCGAAAGATAACGTTACGATTCAAGCATCTTCGGAAAAGCCAGAAGAGAATGCTGTGGAGGATCAGTATAACGACATTACCGATGACAGTTTGAGCAAAGGGTATCAGCAGGACGACACAGAAGTGTCAAAGAGAATTAAGGACGGATCTAATGAGTTAATGAATGGCGATGGAAAATCCTTTAGCGCGGATGAATCTCGTGTAAATGATGGAACGAACGTAACGACGACGAACGACACCGAAAACGCATTGGCCATGATTGGAAATATCCCTGACAAGCATCCAGAGGATGCCAGGCTGACCACTCAGATACCCGTGCTACCGTTGGAAATACAGCAAGAGATGTCGACGACCGAGAAAGTGGAGAGCACCACTGTAACCGAGGAGAATCCTCGAAGGGACAACGGCACGGAACACCAGAATGGGGAGGATGGAACGACAGTTCAGGTACCAATTACTCACGTGATGTCGATGGAGACGAAAACTACTGCCCAGATACCAATATTGCCAGAAGAATTGCAGACTACTGAAAACGACGTGCTGCTGACCACCTCCACCATGAGGTCAGATATCGAAACGAAGACTGGCAACTTGGAAAACGTGTCTTCTGAGAGCGTGGAACGAAAGGAAATGCTTGCTATCGATACGAATGATAATGAAACTCGAATAATTAATTCATCAGAACGACAAATGAATAGTCAGAACGATACTGCTGATGATTCGATGGCCAGTGCGGTGGAAAACGAGGGAAATAAAAGTAATGATAACGCGTTAAGTGTTACAATGTTGGATAACACAAGTGAGGAAGCACCGACGACAATGAGCGTCGAGGAAAGTACGAAGGAGAATGCGACAGAAAGTTCAACGCTCGAACCTTCTCCTTCGACGTCCAACAATGGAACTGCCATCACGACAGAATCGCAGAAAATGTCCGAGACCTCCACTACAACAGAGAATGTTAAACCTGTGATTGAGATATTAGAAGATGACACTGTACCAGTAAGATTCGACTACAGGACGCATTTTGTCATGACCACGCCCAAGGCTAACTTGAATATGGGGGATCTAACGGAGGAAGATTTAAAAGTGATCCCATTAGAAAAGAGTTTAGAAGTGAAGAAGAAATCAACCGACAAAAAGATTATTGATAAGTACAAGTACAAGAAAGAAAAAGAATTGAATTTGGAGGAGAACGAGGAGAACGTGTTAACGGATATACCAGAATTATCGTCTACTGAAACGCCACAAACGGTGAGGGAGATCAAAGAGGAGGCAATCGGTGCCATTGGCAAAGAAGAAAACTCTGTACCAAAATTGAAAATCATTGAGACTACCAGTGGATCAAATCAAACGGAAGTTCGATCCTCTGTAGCAAATGAAAGTATCGGTGGTAAAACCAGCATAACAGTGCCAGACGCAGCAAAGAAGTATCCCAGTTTCATACCCGTTTCAGAGAAGATCATAGAGCCAGAATTTGTTACAGAACCTTTCGTACCTCTTCGAAACTTGCATCATTTCCATCGATCAGACGTTGCAACGGAACATCCATCGATAACAAAGGAATCGTCTAACGAAGATCATACGACGACGGAGCCAGAACAAGTGACGACATTAAACGACGAAAAAATAAACGAAACGGATTCCTCCACGTTCCCTACAAACCAATCGCCCATTCCTTCGAGCACAACTGTTGACGTTTCATTGATGCAAACGAAATTACCTGAAACTGTAACCGTGGAAGCAACCAGCCACATAGACGTTTCGTTCCTGAATCTACCTTCGAACGCCGTGTTTTCCAAGTGCGCTGCTGGACAATTCCAATGCGTGAATGGAACGTCCAGGGATGGCGCGTATTGCGTGAAACTGTCTGCCAAATGCGACTCTGAGAACGATTGCTCGGACGGATCGGACGAGTTGAACTGCGAAGGTTGTCCAGGAAATTTCAAATGTGCTAGTGGGCAATGCCTGAAACGAGACCTGGTGTGCAATAAAATCGTCGACTGCGATGATGGGAGCGACGAGAAGAACTGCGAGGAATGGAAGTGTCAATTCGACGAATTCAGGTGTCCTAGTGGTAAGTTGATTGATAATTATAATAAAAGATTAATCAATTAGTTGAGATTTGATATTAGAAATTTTGTCTCGTGATAAAAAGGTGGAAAATAGGTGGAGATAGATTGATTAACAAGGCAGCAACATTGAAGTGAGAATACAATGAGAAATTGTTCTTAAAAAAATTACTTTATACTGAATCTCTAGCAGAAAAACAATTCTCAAATCTACTCACATTTTGTACATATAGAATATAAAGCTGCTCATAATGTATAAACTGCATATATACCGTGATCGTAAATTTTCTTTTTTTATTATACGTTTAAATAATCGGACGTAACATTTTCATAGAATCTTGCGAGGAATTTTTTCTACAACTTCGCGTGTTTCTTGTTAAATTGGGTCACCACGTTTTCTTGCTGATCTTGTTAAATAACTGGCTTTTGGAATAATATTACACGCTAATTTACTTTTTTCTTCGGCCAATTACGTTCCACCTTGACCAATCCTGAACAAAATAAAAAACAAGAGGTCAGAATAAATTTTTCAACAATTACACATGCACATTGCACATTGATTGATCGCATGCAAATCAGAACGTGAATTATCATCAGGGAAGGAATAAGTGAAAGGAAAAACGTGACATAATACACGCTCGACTTAATGGGATCCCGTTTAATGCAGGATTTCGCAATCGAGCGAGGAATGTTCCGATATATCGAACGAGATGTTTTCTCTCCTATCGGGTTATCGGTGTCAATACTTATCGTTCGAGCAAATTGCTTAATCTTTCCAACTATTTAGAGCTAACGGATGCTTCTCGAAGCGACCTGAAAAAAATAGTGGTATAATTAGTTACGTCTATTATTGTCTTATCTAACCGACACTCATCCACTTAATCCATTTCACAAATATCATATTTACTTCGTGATATTATCTAAAATCCAACAATCTAGGCGGATCGAAGTTAAGATACTTGTTTTGATTCGTTTCTAAAATTAATCCCTTGCTCTTTCTTCTTTCATCTATTTACAACTTGATAGTTTCTTGAAAGTTTATGAAGAGATTATAGAGGAATAAGAATGGTTGTATTTTTAATTTCAGGAAGATGCATTCCTGGTATCTGGCAGTGCGACGGCCGACCAGATTGCGAGGATCATCGAGACGAGTACAATTGTGCCGAAAGTTGTGGGAACGACGAATACCTCTGCCCAACCGAGAAATGGTGTATACCATTGACGTGGCATTGCAACGGGGTCGACGAATGTGCGAAAGGAGAGGACGAAAATTTATGCGATTGCGGTCTCGATCAATTCAAGTGTCAAACAGGGGGATGCGTGCCTGAAAATCAAGTATGCGATGGAATAGAACACTGCCCCGATCATTCCGACGAGTGGGGCTGTTTGATGGCGAACGTGACTGTAGAGAAAAAGTTGACGGATGGACAGAAAGAGGATAACGCCGGGAGTGTTGGTGCTCAAGAATCGGATACTCCTTTACTGAAAGTAAGGTGCGTATAAAACATCGTTACATAAAAATTTAAAGATTAAAATTCTTAAATTCTAATAAAAATGACGATATCTCTGTCATTTAAAGTATTCTTATCATTTCTTTCGCATAATTCTATTGCGTCAAATCATATCTGTTCTTATCGATGTTTAATTAACTTCGAGAGAAATCTTATTAATTTCCTCCTCTATTTCCTAATTCTTCTGTTTATCATCATCTAAAAGTAATTAACATAAAATTCTACTTCGCAATTACGTTTCAAGGTTTAGATACAACGACTTCATTTCAGTGTCGTTCTCTTAATCACCTCATTAAACGTAGGAAAAAAATTTCTACAGAACGATTATTATCGTTAATTATATACCGAGAAAGATTAATTTCGCAAATAAACTTCTGCAACAAAAAAAAAAAAATAACTGGAACTTTTCTCTCTTTTCAGACAATACAACGGCGAATACCGTCTCGTTTGTTCCGATGGATGGAGCGAGGAATTCAGTACCTCTTATTGCCAATCTTTAGGATTCGCCGGTTCCGAGAGCACAGAGTTCCAAACGAGGGACAAAACTCAGAAGATTTTCAGATTAAAGGCGAATCCCAATCACCATGCGCCATTGGTCACGAATTTGGAGCAAGTCGAATTCTGCGTCTCTGACAAAGTCGTGCAAATCACTTGCCAAGAATTTTCTTGCGGATCCGATTACGGAGAAGGACCAACAGCGAGATTGGTTGGTGGAACTCCGGCCAGCGAAGGACAATGGTCCAGCGTGGCTTTGTTGAAGGAACCTAAACTCGGTGCTGCTTGCACGGCCAGCATATTGGGTCCTATGCACGTGCTTGCCAGTTATTCCTGCATCCACAGGTGAATATCGAGATCGATTGAAAAAATGAAAATTAATATTCAATCTTGAATGGATATGAATCTTTGAATGGAATTTGTAATCGATTAGTTGATGAGATATAATTCTCGAAACGATATTTTAAATCTTGAAGAAATTTTGAATATCGACAGATATATTTGTCTTTTTTTTTTCTTTTTCTTTTTTAGATATAAGCAGAGCAATGGATGGCAGCTTTTCACCGGCGAAAACCTGCTTAAAGCGCATCCTGTAAGGAATATCATTCCTTATCCTCAAGTGAAGTACAATCAATTCTTGTATAACAATGATATCGCATTGGTGGAATTAGAGAAGCCTTTAACTTTCTCGAGGAATGTCAGCGCCATCTGCCTTCCGAAACATCCTATACAGGTTTGTATTTTAGGAAAATATTTGATACCAAGAATATTTAGAAATATTAGCCAAGAAAATATGCGTGTGTTTACCTTTTAGCAATTCCAGCCGAGACAAATATGCGTGATGGCTGGATGGGGATTTTCTGTGAACGGTGAGATCGATTTACAGAAGTACCTCAACTTCCTGCCATTGCCAACGTACGATATCGAAGAATGCAATGCGACCACTCACTATGCAGGATTCATTACGAAGGACAACATATGCGCTGGATTCACTGATACGAATAAAGGACCTTGCTACGTAAGATTCTTGACTCTTTCCTGCAATTTTCTAATTCCATTTTTTAATCCTCCTATCGTCCTCATCGTTAAATCACAATTATGTGTATAAAGTTTAAGATAAATTTCACCTATATGATTTGTCTTTTATTTCAATTCTTATGCGATAAAATGAAATAATTTAAATTATAGTTATTTATCGACGAGTTAAGGAAAATAGAAAAAGAGTGATTAATCTATTCTATTATTCCTATTTTTCTTTTCTCTCTTTTATAGAACGACGAAGGAGCACCCCTAATGTGTGAATCTGGAGGAGGATCGGTCAGATGGGAAATTCAGGGTCTATTAAGTCATCACAGCAGATGTTCGAGAGGTCATCCGGCAATTTATTCCAGCGTGGAACCTGCATTATCTTGGTTGCGAAACTCCGTACCTGCTTTGCAAACGCAAAGCTAAAGCGCTATAACGTGATTTCGTTCTTTCCACGAGAATATGCGAACATTAGATGAATTTTTTCTTCTTTTTTTTTTTTTAATTCGTACGAATTGATCATAACGATACAATGAATGAACGAACGAATAAATTAAATGAGTCGATCGAAAAGGAACTGTTGAACGTATAAGTTCCTGTTAAAATTCATGAAACAAAAACAATGTACTTAATTTATATCCGTCTTTGTTTTTCACAATATGTTCCTATTTAAATGCGAAGAACGCGGATTTGATAGATAGCAATACGTAATCGCGGCCATAATTCGTTCTGCATCAGAAAAATATATCCTAAATGTTGAATGATTTTTTTTTTTTTTTAATATCTTTACGATAATTAATATTGTAATATTTTGTGGCAAGTTGTGCTCACAGAAAGTGAAAAGATAACGGAGATAACATAATTGGCGATACAAGATATTTACAATTAAGATTATTTGTAAATACTGTATAAAGTGACTGTTTAATATGCTTAACATTGTAAGAGACTTTTTTTTTACATGTTTAGGAAATTAGGTCTCTTAAGAATGCTGTTTTACAAGTATTCAAATATGTAAAACAATTTAACACATTCATTTATTCTGCTGAATACCCAACAAGTTTCGTGTAACAACTGTATCTAACAGATTTATGCTGACATACACTTTCTAGTTTACTATCTCAAAAAAATGTTAGCAGAGGTGTAGTATTACTGATTAGTGTAATGTCTGCGTGAATTGTTTATGTAAATCCAGTTATTAGATATTACAAAAAGTAGCAGTAAAATGAAAATATTTATTGGAAACAAGAGACCATTGAATAAATATATTTGATTATTCAATAATAAATAGTTTGTCTCAGAAATCGTAAAAAGAGATTTCTGAAATGAACAATAGAATAGGATAAAAAATAGATAGGAGATAAATGTATATAATATATGAGTATTTTAATAAAATACATTGTTATGAAGAGATACAATAATAAAATATGTTTATGTATGCATAGTCATTGATGAATGCATAAGTATTTTTATATGCTAAGATAAAAAATAAATGTATTTTAAATGAATTTTAAGCTTTCTTATTTTAAATATAAATAATTTTATTGTTATTTATACAATAAATAATTCTTTGTTATTTACACAATAAATCCTTAATCTAATTGTTTCTTGGGCATTGCTGCAATTTCAGCTGTTGTTACAATAGCATCTATAGTAATTAATGACTCAGAAATACTAGTTATTACATCATTATATTTGGAAAACACTTCATTTATATGATTATTTAATCCTTGAGTATCTTCGTATAATTTAAGATATGATAAATTCAAATCATTGAGTTTGTTTGTTAATTCTGGTACATTTTTTAGACGATCAGTCTCTAATACAGGTGTTAATTCTTGCACTTGTTTTAACATTTCATGATTTTGCTTTATTTCTGATGCCATTGCTAACAATAATTGAAGCTTGGCCTCTATAGGAATTTCTGAACTTTCAATTATTGGATCTAAATAAGTATTTAATTCTGGTAATCGCTTTATCATTAGATTTGCTTTTTCTCTTCCTGACATTGCAGAGGAAACCAATGTATTTACATGCAAGATATTATCTATCACAGGATTTTCCAATGTATTTTCTTTTTTCTTTGCAAGTCCATATATTTTTTTTTCCAATTCAATAACTCTATCTTCTAACAATTCAATAGCTGCCATTCTAAATATTTAAAAAACAGAATAATAAAATAATCATATATTTTTTCATTAATGTATTACTATTTAAGTATATAAATACATAATATATTGAGTTTGAAGAATTTGTAATATATACTTATCTTAATTATATAATTATATAATATGTTCAATGCATATATATATATATATATATATATATATATATATAATATTAAATATAATAATAATTAATAATAAAACGAATATTTATATGTTGTTAATAAATCAATAATGTAGTACAATTTTAAATAAATTAAAAAAATTTGTGATAAATATTATAACATTATACGACTTTACTTACTTGAGAAAATTTAAGAATTCCACTAAAATAACTTCAATTTACACCACAAATGTATATAAATGATAATATTTATACATATGACAGTAAATTTATAAAATTTGACAGATAAAATTAGGTTATAATAAGTATACGACTATGATCTGAAGTAATTCAATATATAACTGCTTTTGTTCGTATTGCAACTTACTTCAGAGTAATCAAAAAAGGCGCTAATATAAATGTATCGACAATTTTTAATTTTTACATATTTAAAACTTATTTTTCTCATAATTATAATGTTTAAACAAGAAAATATCGAATTTGTATCGAAATTTTCATAAGCAATATAAATAATAATTAAATTTTTATAAATTGAAACATGATTATTACGCATAATCTTCTATCATATTGCTTTTAAATTAATTCAAATAAGAATATTATTTGAATTAATGTTTCAAAAGTAAAAAATATGTACATTTTATTCCTCATTATAAATCAAAAGAGATAATTGTAATCATTATTGTTTTCAAAAATAATCTTTCATTGTATGCAACTATAAAACTTACCGAAATCCTGATGTAAAAGGACGAAATATTGCTTTAAATAGACGCACTATAGTACAACATAAATATGTATTTACGTATAGATGGTTACAGCTTTGTACACTTCTCGTAGTTCACACTTTAAAATAAATTCTTGATCTCCCCACTTCACTTTTAGAGAAACTGTTACAGACGAATACCAGACAATGTTCCGTAAGAGAACCGCGGGTGGGCGACTATACGACAAGGCGCATGGTAGGGATACAGTATCTGTCATGGCCGACGTTCACTGGGAGCGTAGTTTTGGTCAGACCGCATTAGTGAGCGGTACGCGGTGTGTTTAGTGGTAAGAAAAAACATGGGGTACGATAATGGGCAGACGGTCAAGCGAAGAAGGCGTTAGCGAACTCTCGGTCCTGATAAAGGACAATTTATGCGAGAGGTCCGCGACGATGGAATCACGAGCACGGAGGACTCGGTTACGTAGCGTTGTAGGGATATGTTTATTTCTCGCGCTCACGGGCATCATTTATCTCGGTTACTTCTGTCCCGATCACGTATGTGCTTTAACGAGCCGCGAGATCAAGGAGTCCGTAAGATTGTCCGAGGGTCTATCCGCTGGACCCGGCTCCGGTTTGTCTTCCGTCTCCGTCGAATTCGACAAAAATGGCCTGCTCTCGGTACATCCTGCTTTTAGATTGCAGAGTATTCAGGGAAGCCTTGGTTACGACGACGTGTTTACCAATGATACTTTCCAATTTGATATCAATGGTCACGATGTCATCGTTTTCTTGCATATTCAGAAGACTGGTAAGTAAAATTTGCGTTATTATTTAATTCAGATTTTTTTTTAGATATTCATACATCAATTTTGTTCTTTTATTATAAGTTATGAAAAATATCCAATAGGAATTTTTATCAAAATAAAATTTTAATTTGAAAAATATTTATTTTTTTTTTGTGTTTTGATATAAATTTTGTTTTCCATTATAATTTTATATTTATTTATATATAATTTTATATTAATTTATATATTAATTGAAATTCAATTCATTTGATCATTTATTTTTAATGAAAATATTGAAATGATATATAATAAATTATATAATATAATATATGAAATAATCTATAGAATTTTTGCATAAATATATTTTTTTATTTGATTGTTTCATATCTTGATTTCTTTGAATGAATACCAACCAATCCTATAACTTAATAAAAACAATGCAACATCCCTTCTGACCATTGTACAACTGAATCTTTGCATTATTCATCAGGCACTGTGAAACCTCCAAGCTCTATCTTAGAAGGAGAAAGAACAATTCAGGGATGTTGCTTTGTTTAATATGCTATGCATGCATATCTGTATTTCCTTTTTGTTTTCCACATGTATGCTTCCCATAAGATTTTCTTTATCAAGATGTATAATAGGATATGCATATCATAAATATTTGCTTAAACTTTCAATATAAATGTATAAGATAATGACATCACCAAGAAAAAATTAAAATTAATTAAAATTAAAATTTGAAAACAAATTTCTAATATATTAGAGAATATTTGTTAATTTTTAAAAATTTTTTTGTGTTACAGGAGGTACATTATTTGGAAAACATTTAGTTAGAGATCTAGATCTACAAAGACCATGTTCTTGTCAAAGAAGACGCAAGCGTTGTTTTTGTTTCCGTCCAAATCGTAATGAAAATTGGCTTTTTTCAAGATATTCCACTGGTTGGAAATGTGGTCTACATGCTGACTGGACAGAATTAACTAGTTGTGTTGATACTGAGTTAAATAAAATTGAAGGAGATGGAATAAAACGTAGATACTTTTATATAACTATAATAAGGGATCCTGTTGCACGATATTTATCTGAATTTAGACATGTACAAAGAGGTGCAACCTGGAGAGGAGCTCGTCATTGGTGTGGAGGAATTCAAGCAAATATACCACAATGTTATCCTGGGTCTAGTTGGCAAGGAGTTTCTTTAGAACAGGTAATATTATATCATAAATTTCATATTCAATAATATTTATATATATTCAATATTAAATAATTCAATTTAAAAATATCTTTGTATATTATATTTTCCATGAATCCATAACAATGATTTCTTTAATGAATAAAATATTATGTTATCTAAAAGGCTTTCATACATAGAAACACATTAAGATAAGTATTATTCCTTATCTTGAGGGTATTTGTCTTTTTCTTCTCTAAGATAGATATAATTTTTTTCCTTTGTATAGATATATTCTCTCCTATGAAAACAACATTTATTTAATTGATGTAACAATTTAAAATATAAATATATTTGTATTTATATTAAGTATTTTATATTGAAAAATAAATTTTATATTGAATATATTATATATATATATATCATATATATATATATATGAAATATGTATATATTAAAAAGTGAAGTGAAAAACATATAATGGTTATAAAACGAGATTTTGTTTAAAAATTAAATCTTTTTTCACAATATTATTTTTTATATAGTTTATGGCGTGTCCATATAATTTGGCAAGCAATCGTCAAACAAGAATGTTGGCTGATCTATCAATTGTTGGTTGTTACAATTCTACACTCAGCAGTTTGGAGAGAGATCGTCTCATGTTGGCTAGCGCTAAGCACAATTTGCAATTCATGCCTTTCTTCATGTTGACTGAATATCAAAAAGTAAGAATTAATTTTTTTTTATTGATAATTAAATGCATGTAAATATATGCAAGTTTTTATATTATGTGTTCATATGTTGCTTGCATTATTAATAATGCTCTCTATTTCATGGGTAAAAAATTATGGATTTATAATTTAAATTAATACACGTTGCGCATGTTCCATATACTTATGTATATATATTTTTAAGTTCTTAAAAAGTTTTTAAGTTGATCTCTAATCTTTAATAACTATTTTTTAATTGTGTATTGATTGCATTTATCATATTCTGGTATTGTATATTGTAGAGCTGTTTATAATTTTTTTATTTTAGCATTAATGTTATTAATTTTGTATGCTTCGATTTATTTATAAATTTTTATTCATCAATTTTTTCAAATTTTGAAAAAATTATTTTCTTCTAAGTTGCTTGATCCGTCTGAATTAACAAGACATTTTATGTTGTACCAAAGAATCATCTTGGAAAGTAGCTCTTAATGTAAATATTTGTCTTGCCCATCCGTACATACGAACGTTGAATATGCTTGTAAACATCCCATGCTTTTACTGTTTTAGTTATAAAGGCATTTTTTTCATTTTAATAAATATATTTTAAAAATAATATTTTTACATTATTATTATTATTTATTATTAATTGCATTTAATATATTCGTAACAAAAATGAAATTAAAAAATTGAAAAATAAAAAAAATTATTTGAATATTGATTGTAAAAGATGAAATAAATAAATTAATTTATATAAATTTATTTATTTATCTGATAATTTTATTTGAATATTATTCTTTAATATCATTAAATTTTCCTTTTACCAATTTAAAATATTCATAAATATTCACATATTTTTTTATATAAAATACTAATATGTTTGTAGAATGCATTCAAATAATTTTTTTATCTATTAGTATTAGGAAAAAATTGTTTGATATAAATTGTTATTTTTGAATCGTATAAAAATATGATTAAATTTATAATGCAAATTAATTAATGGAAATTCTTTGCCAAAAATATATGTTATCATAAAAAATGAATGCTGTTTTTGCTAACTTTCTTTTTAATAATAATTATAAACTTTAATAAATTTTAAACTTTTGTTGTTTTTTGTTATTTTTTTTAAATTTAGTTACGTGAATGCAATATATTTAAAAAAAATTTTTTGTAGCAGAATTTCATGTAAAAAATTTGTTCAATTTTAAATTTATTTTTATATACTTTTTTTTCTAATTTTTTTGCGAAATGTATTACATTATTAAAAGTTTTTACACACAGTTCGTTTATTTATTGTATTGTCATAAATGTATAAATTGTGCATAAATATTATAAAATTAAATTAAAATCGAATAGGTGGGACAATATTCCTTTGAAGAAACATTTGGAATGAGATTTGCCGTTGCATTTGAACAACATAACGCGACATTAAGCGCTGCCACAATGGCTACCCTAAGCGTGGAACAGTTAGATGCTGTGCGTAGATTGAATAGATTGGATCTGGAACTTTATGATTTCGCAAAGAATCTTGCGTTTCAAAGATTCAAACGACTTAAAGATCGCGATCCATACTTTGTACAACGATTTCAACACCTTGGGGAATTACCTTCTAGACAAAGTGCAACGGAATTCAATTGGGATTCTGTTATAGAAGATACTACAGATGTTGAATGATATGTAAGTATGTTAATGATAAATATTATTGATGCTTTGCATTCATAGCTAAGCAAATGAAATGTTGCTCTGAATCTGAGCATCTCAGGGAATCATCCTTGAAAGAAAAAATGTCTTTTACATAGAATTATTACATGCATTTGTTGCATGGAACTTACCAAAAGTGTTTATAGAAAATATTATGGATAAGACCAAAGAGAGCTCAGAGAGGATCTTGAAATAACCTTTAGATCCTCTTTCAATAGCTATATATAAAAAGATATATGTATAATTACACAATTTTTTTTTATGATTTTTAAAATATTCAAAATATTCAATTTTTAAAATTTTCTTTTTTTATAGAAAGTTCTTCCATTTAATGCAATTTTTGCTTAGAATGTCACGGTTAAGCTTAATCTTTGTTAAAGTTATTATATATAAATTTTGTATAGATATAATTTACAAACAGATTTTTTTAATCTATGTTAAAAGTCAATTCTAGAAAAAAATATTATAATTATTTCTTAAACGTATACTTACATTTTAGAAAAAACTAATGATGTTTTGCAAAAATATAAGTGTGTAGTATTTTATATGATATTCAATATTTTATATTTATTTGTTTCTCAAACGTGATAAAAATTAGTTTTATAATTAGTAACTAAAATTATTGATATGAATTATAAAGCATATTTTTTTTATTTAAATTTCTTGTTTTTATGATCATATGCATAATAATATATATTCAATTTACGAATATTCATATTTACGAATTTTAAGAATTTATAACAAAAAAGAATAAATTTCCTTTCGATGTATCGTGTATTGTAAATTTTATAATTATTTTATTGCAAATTATAAAATATTTAAAAAAATAATAAGTGTAGATTCTTGTATTTAGAAAAAATTTTTAATGAAATATTTCTTGCTTTAAAATTATATCAAAGGTTACAAATTAAATCGCAATTTATATTCCTAATTAACACGTGAAAGAGATAATAAAAGTGACATAATACATGTATAAAAATCTCTATTTATAGTGGGTTTTCAATGGAAGGATAAATATTACAAATTAATTTTGTAAATATATCTAAAAATCTATATTTTTTAATAGAATCATTTGCAATGTTATTTGAATGAAGTGGTATTAGGTTTAATAAAAGCGATCTATATAGTTTAAGTGATAAAATGTTCATGTGAATGTTGGAACGAATGGTCATTGGATAAATGTGTTTAATATTAAGCAGCCTGCAGATCTTGAAACATATTGCGATGCACATATATCGACTTAAGCGATGAGTTTAAATCAATGGTTTTCACGAGACTGAAATATTATTTTATCATTTTCAATATCATGTGAATCATTAACTTAAACCCATCGCTTGAATCGATCACAATATATTTCAATGTGTGTAAGAGCCTTTAGATACTGATTATTTAACAATCTAACTGCTCACAAGTATCATTTTTATTACATTTCTTTCGATAATTTTATTTTTTATTATAATGCACACACAAACATTGAAAGTATCAAATTTACATTTTAATGAATTTGTCGTAAAAAATTAATGAAATTTATTGATTGATTAAAAATGTAGATTACATTGAAAAGATTATATATTTAATATGTTGAAATCATACGTGCAATAAGACTCGATGGGTTACCATTATAAAATATTTTACATCATTCAGTCATAAAATAAATGTAATATATTCTTTATATATTAAATATATGTAACTAACTAACATTAAATCATTACAAAGCAAAATGCAAATGCTCTCTTTAGCTACGTATTCACTAATTACGTAAATGATCTATAAACTCTTTGATGATTGGTTGAAATATATGGCATACACGAACGTAAATATTCGCAAACGTTTATGACTGCCATACATCGAATTGAAATTCATTATTTTCTGCGTCCAATAGAAGCAAAGAAATATTAAAATAATATTAATTCTATTAATTAATTAATAATAGATGTTCTCGAATATATTCATATTATTCAATATTTATCTCGACAAATGTGGAATTTTAGCTAACATTTTAAGCGAATCATTATAAGTATATTTGTATATTAAATATAAATATTTATAATTTTTTAAGTCGTCGATGAATACGCGGCTTTTAACGAATATTATTGATCTTCTGTATGATTACCATACTTATATTGTAAGTTAAATTGTAAAATGAGTGCCATCAGTGATATAAAACAAATTGATCTGTTATCTTTAACTTTGCTATTACAAATGATTTATGTTAATTAGAAAAATATATCATTTTATTGTTCATAAATTTTAGGCTTCTTCTTTCTCAGTCTATATTAAATATATTTTTTAAGTTAACTTGTAATAGATTAACAATAGTATCAATTTGATTTTGTAATTATAATGTTTTTAAAATATTATTTGAAAATATACATAAAAATTAATTTGATATTATTACCATTTAAAAGTGAGCAATTTATGAACAATCTATATTTACAAATATATATAATATTAAGCATTATAATATTATTAACAATAATGATCATTTAAAAGTAATATTAAGGACCAAAGATTTAATAAGTTTTTATGAAAAGAGCAGAGAGCATATTACAAGCAATTGTAAAAAGAAAAATTTTTTATATGTTCTTAAATGAAGTGATCATTATAATTACATTAAGTCGAAAGATATACTTTATTATCTTTCCACTTAATATACTATAGGTACAATAATAATATATTATAGGTATAATATTAAACTTGGATGAAACACAAACAATCTTTTAAGCAATTGATGCACAGAAACAGATTTAGCAATATATCGCTATTTTCGCGTACTTGCCTTTATTATATGTTAAGATTTCCAAACAATTCAGAAATGATCGAACTTAAATCACACAGGGTGTGCAGTATTTTAAAATTAACATATTTAGAATCATTGTCTACTATTTTATTAATTTTTTTAGTTTCAATAATTACATATACTTATCTCTGCCATTTTTTATCATACATATTGAAATGTTTCTCATTACATATGCAATGGAATGCTTGTGACTATTTGTAAACATTTGAGATTGATAGTTACTTAAGTATTTACATTGTGAGCATTGTAAAAAATGAGCACATATTCATTGGATTAGTGTGAATGAAAGCCTAGCTTTAATATATAATATGAAATTTTTAGCATGAAATTAAGTTGTAACAAAAATAATAATGAAAAAATAATAATGAAAACAAAAAGCCATGACAGTAGCCTAATAAAGTAAAGTATAGGCCTAAGCCAATGGTACCTTATGTAAGCCAGTGTACATACCATACCATTAAATCATTAAAGAACAATAAATTGTTGTGTATACAATATTATATACAATCTTATACAGACATATATATATAAATATATATATTATATAAAAATATTATATGTAAGTTGTACACATATTTAAAATTATGTTATTTGATTATTAAACAATTATATAAAAGAAATATGGTTGTTTTACAATATACCAAATTAAAATAAAAATTAATTCATGTTACATATATTACTATTATATTGTAAGCATTATTTTTGTAAACATTATTTTAAAAATGCAATTGAAAAGAATGATGTAGGCAAGATATAAATTAAAATGTTTATTTTGCAATCGTTAATTAAATATATTTGTACATTATTATTAAGAGAAATATTTTTTATTCATAAAATTATGTTTTACGAATTTCTTTCTAAATTAGAACAATTTTTGATTTCATATTTTATGTTAGAGAAATATAGGATGGACATAAAATGCTTTCAGTGTCAAGAAATAAAAAGATTACTTATGTAATAATATTTTTTGCTAGAGTAATGATTGCTCCAACATGATTTTTTCAAAACCTGTAGGTGGAGGATGAATAAAATTATCCAAAATTAAGTCTAGAATGGCCCCATCATCCACTATAAAAAAAAATTATTTCTTATTTAAAATATTAATTATTAAAATATTAAATTTCTTTTTTTTTTTACAATTACAATATTACCATAAAGTACTGGATAAACAGTTCCTTTTATGCCCATTACAGGAGCACCTATTGGTTTTCCATTTAAATAGAAATTAAGTTCTATGTGATCATAAGATACGCTCTGATAAATAAAAAATAATTAGTTTTTAAATTAAAAATGCTTTATAATTATTATAATTATACTTACTATAATATCTCCTTCTTGAACTGAACTTTGAATCTTATGTATTTCCTGTTGATTATGCCTTATAATAGAATCATAATTAAGAGCCCAACTTTCTTTGTCATTTCCTCCAATAGTAATATTGAGATCTGTGGATCTTGTAGCTAATCCAATAGCCCATATACCACCTTGTTGTATTTTTACTTCAAAATAACTTTTGTTTTGGACAAGAGGAGCATTTGTTAAGGCACCACCACGACCACATACTCTTAGACCATTTTTTACTATCACAACTTCATGTCCTGCACCAATTTAATATTTTTCTTATTTACTGTTTTTGTAGTTTTCGAAAAATTTTTTAACATTAATATAAAATATATAAAAATAAAGTTAACATTAATAAATCATTAGAAATACTAAATGTACACTTTATCTTTAGGAATGCGAACATACATTATATGTAAATGTGACGATACGATTAACACAATTTAAATAATATAAAGTTAAAGTTATTTCAAGATTAAAATTAAAAATTACCCATATAAGACGTGTCTAAAGATATAGGATTTGGTTCTCTTTTCGGTGTTTGAGTTGCGGCAAAGCCAAGGCCGTCAAAACAATTTCTCAAACAGCAAAACATCATCTTTGTTCCCCTTTCTTTATAGTTTGTTTAGATTAACGATTGTAGCATTGTGACACTGTTAGGAGAAAATTTTTTTTCTCCCGTAAAATGAAACGAATAACTCACGATATTTACTTCGATTACATCGAGAATATTAAACACCATGCAATATTTGGGTATGATAGTAAGTTAGTATTGTGCGTATTTCAACGCAGAGATTGAACTTTGAGGTTTCCGTGTGTAGGTAGATTATACGTACATGACAGAAAATGGCTTCCTTTCAAATTTGTGCAATCAATATTAAATTCTTATTTACTTTATATAGGTATGTTGCATTTTTGTTAAAAAAATTTAATATTATTATTAATTTTTAAAAAATTTTAAATATTTGTATAATTTAAACTGGAAACTTTAATATATTACGCGTATGAAATTTAAGGTTATGTTTTTCATTTAAAAATACGTAAATACGTAAAAAAGATTTTATTAAAATTAATAAGACAAGTAATAAGATAAACTTTTAATATTAAATGTGAAATAAAATAAACTAATATTCATATTTTGAACGTATAAAAAATGAAAAAATAAATATATTTAGCAGGAAAAAAAAGTGAAACTGGTATTTAGTACCAAAGTGGTATTTATTTGTTTATTTTATACAATAATAATTTTTTATATCCGACTGGGATACAACATCTGTAACAAAATAATGAAACATTGGCAAATTCATTTACATGTTACATGTAAGTAATCAAATTATTAAACTTACAATCCTGATACGATGACCCATAGCTTTAGCTGGTAGATTTTTCTTAAATTTAGCACGTACAGAACCACTAGTTCCATGTGGCCGGGTTACTTTACCCCAAATAGCTCTAACTTTTGTTTTCCTGCTTTTCTTTCCAGGAACAGGTGTTTTATTTTTTGCCTGTAAATCATTAATATATTATGACCATAATAATATTTAATTTATATTATTTAATATTGTACTACAATATTAAATTCAAATAAAATAATTTAAGGAAAACAATGAAAGTTACCTTATATACATAAACACATCGTTTTCCTACATAAAAATTTGAATCCTGTTTATCTCTAGCTCCTTCAACTTTAAGAAGTGCTGTGTGTTCATGTTGATTACGCAATCCACGTTTATAACCAGTAAAAATGGCTTTAGCATAAAGACGTCCGTGTCTTTTAAAAGGCCTCTTTTTTAAAGGAGGAGGTTCTACTGGCTTCTCTTTCGGTTTCTTAGTTGCTTTCGTTTTAGACTTTGGTTCAGCAGGTGTGTCTGCCATTTCTAATAGAAAAAAAATACGAACTTTATAAAGTATAAAATTATATTACGACGAAAATTTTATTGCTTAAAAAATCAAGTTTTAATTGTAATGAGCAATAACGATATATATTAAATAAATTCTAGAATTAATACGATGTTTTAGGTTATGATAAAGTAATGTTCGAATTGTAGACAAAAAACAAAACAAAATTTCACTTTAACGTCAAACTGAAATGTGTTTAATACAAGTTTTTTTTAAAAAGATTTTCAGAAAACAATTTAATATTAAAGTATTAATATATTATAACAAAATACACGCGTTTGTTGTTATACGGCTGAAAATGCCATGCAAAGATAGATTCTCTAAATCCATTGAGATCGATAAAAAATATATCAAATATGACAATGAGAATTATTACATGATATCACAAAACAATTAATAACAACTTATAACTATTATTAATCTGTCAATTTAATTAATTTAACATATTTTAAATAATAAATATGAGAATCTGACACTAGAAAACGTACCGGATGTATATCACGAACTAAAAGAAACAGGAAACTGTAGCCCTCTTACGACAAAAATATAAAATAATTTGAATGATAATGTAGTATGTGATATTATCAATGGAATAATATTTTTGTTCGTAAATATTTTGAAAATCTAATAGATGTCACTACATGTTCCATTTTTGTATTTCAAAATTATTTTTCAAAAAAATTTGAATAATATCAAACTTTATATTATATTTTAATTATATATTTAATAATTGCATGTAATCACATAATTTTAATAATTTTAATAATTAAAATTTTAATAATGGAAATTATAATTTAGAATTTATATAATTTATATTCAGAATGATAATTTAAATTGCATACGTAAAAGTTTTATTCGAAAAATTTGATGAAATAGATATACGAAACTTTCAACATTCATCAATTATAATTACAATTATATTTGTTATTTTATAAAAATAGATCAATATATATATATATAATACATATATTAAAATTAAAAATGATAATCTAATTTTTTAGAATTAATCATAGCATTTCAACTAAAATTTTTATATAAAACGTTTCATTTAAAAATAAATTTTCAAATATCTCATTTTCTTTCTTTCTTTTTCTTTTCTTTCTTTTTTTTTTTTTAATATTTGAAAACAAGAATTTTTTAATTTTTTACCAATTTTTTTGAAACTCTAAAATATTAAAAGAATTAAATGAGGTAATTTTGAAGGTAGTAAAATAAAAAAGAATAATAAAAGAACTAATACTATAAAGGTTCAAATCGAATCTATAATCCAATGTATGTAGAAAAAGATAGAGATTGACAATTTATTTCAATCAAGAAAAAGAAAACATTGTCTCTTCCACGATCGAAAATTCCTTTTCTTTTTTTTTTTTTTTTCAATTTCAATGTTTTTCATCGAATTATCACGATGCTTTGATAAGCGCAAATGAGACATTATCGCGCGGCGATCTCCCTTTACATTTTTCTACGTGATTAAAGTCAAGAATATCGTGTACACGTCAAACAAGCCATGCTTTGTCCCGCAAAATTAACACGTATAGGCGCGAACCAATTCAGGACACGTTCCAAGAAAAGTGATATGAAAGCAACGATTCATCGATTTTATAGTACAATCCTCTTTGCCCTTAATCAGATCGAGAAAATTGAAGCACAAATGATTCTGTTTGTTATCTCTGTAATACACGAGGTGCTATTAATTTTATCTTTAACTTTTTGACATTTTAGATGAAAAATTCATCTAAAATTAATCTTTAAGAGAATTTTCATGACAACTTTATAACTTATAACATTCTCTAAAAAAAAAAAAAAAATTGCATACATAAATTTTTGCAAATTGTAAATATATGAATGTAAAATTGTAAATGCATAAATATTTACAGAGCGGACAGAAAGCGTGCAAAAAAGAACGCGAAACGGCATCTGAAAAGCAAATGAAATTAAAATTAAACTTGAGCATGATAACTATATTTACTTTAAAAATCGTGGCTAAAAAAAAAAGCTTCTAATTAACCTTTAGCATTAATCCCCGAACAAAAGAATCGCCAAAAAAATTATTCCACCTTCGACCGAAAACAATTAAACAAAACCAAACTACTCAACACTTCCCAACATTCGTTCAACTCGAACCAAGCCACACTCCGGAACAACGAAAAATTCTCACTTTTTCTGCTAAAAAAAAAAAAAAAAGAAAAAAGAAAAAAAAGGAAGAAAAAAAAGGGGGTTGAAGCACAGAGGAAGAACATAAAAGCGGAGAACATTTCGTTTCCAATGAGAGGTCGCTCTTTACGACTCGCATTGTTCGCAAACGTGCTCGAGCGTTTTACGCCGATAGAGCGTGCTTAAAAACCTCCGAACCCCGATATATAAAAACCGTTCGTTTATTTTTCGCGTTTCAAAAATTTCGGCCCATTTATCATCCGACCCTTTCCTTCCCTAACGAATTAAATTTCGCCTACGACCCTCCCATCTTCATCAACCCCCCAACCAACCAACCTGGGGAATTCACTTGGACTTCCCCAGTCTTTTACGCTCTCCTCGCGACAGCCTAACCCCCTCATATATAATATTTTAGGATAAAAGAGAAGGAGGGAAGAAGAAGAAGAAGAAGAAATAAAATCGTGGACTGCCGCCACCGGTGGATTTATGCCTTCTTCGAGAAGAAGATTTACGATCGAACGGCTTCCACGTTGCGGTGATCTCGAGGATCGTGCGAGAACCTCGTGAATTATCGGGGAGGGAGAGAGGAAGATATACACAGTTTCTGTAAATTTTTTTTTTTTTTTTGAAGGGAATCCCTCCCTCTTTACCTGGTTCAGGAGCGTGCAAAACAAGTTTGGAAGATTTTTGTCGAGCGTCTCCTTGCGGCTTTCCACAGTTATTTCCGGTTGGTTACGCGGCGGTTGTTGGAAGTGGGTTATGCGCGTTTCGAAATTGCGAAAGTGAGGTAAGAAAATAGGTTGGATACGTGTACGTGTTGAAGATACGGCGATGGTAATGGAAATTTGTTGTGCAATGGAATTGTGCACAACCGTGGTCTTCCGAATGGAATGGGATATTTCGGGAGGATATGTAAGATTCTTAAGGCTGTAAGGACTAATCTTGGATTACATTCGGATAATTGAATCCGTGTACATATATACGCACGGTTTTAAATAAATCGTAAAATTTAAAATCGAAATTTCTTTTTACTCGCCACCACTTGTATATCCATATATTTCCAGAAGAATTGGAAACGAGCTACGGGGAATGAATTAGACAATAAATATCTCTACATATACGTACATAAATTATCCTACGAACGAATGATTAACCACCAAATTGTTAAACCATCCTATTACATCTATCAAAACTCTCCTCATTAACATCAACCATTTCCATTCAATCCAGCTCGATCCATCCCATTCATCCCAGTCTTCAAACACCGATCCAACAAGTTGGTACACCGTCCCGAACACCATCCCCCTCCCCTGGTAGTGTACAATACCACTTCCGTCACAATTAAACCATACAAACCCTTTCTCCGCTCTTTCACCCGCTCTCTCCTGTTCCAAGACCACGGCCACGGCTACCTTCAATTTCACACGCGTTCGCGAATCGAAACACATTCGAGCCGATCGATACGAAACGCCTCGCGATCCAATCGTTCCTGATCGAATCCTCGTTGCGAAAACCGTTCGTTTTGAAATTCATCGTCGTTCGAATCGTGAGAGAGAGAGAGA